TGCTTTGAGCAGGGGGTTGGACTAGATGACCTCCTCTCAGGTCCCCTCCAAGCCTGAGATTCTCTGAGGCAAAGCCTGTGGGGAGCTGGGCTGATGAATTGAGACTGGCAGCTCATCAGCACAACGCAGAGCACCTGGGTCAGAACCAATATGTAGCTAAGGTGCTGGAGGGTGGGGCTAAGCCAGGTTTCTGTCCACACCAGCCTGGCACTTGTCATGCAGCAGCAAACTGAGCTCATGGCCCCGCAGGCCGGCCCGGAGAAAAGAGAGCTCCCCCAGGTGACGGGCCAGGGTCCCTGGGAGGAGATGGGCAAGGTCTGGGGGGGTCTGGCTCTTCTAACTACCCCTCTCCCTATGCATTCAGGAGACGCCAGCTGCCCGGACAGGCTCTGAATCGTCACTGGCCAGGTTCTTCCACCACATTGCTCCGCTGGGGCTCTTCAGTTCCCTGGTAAGTAACTCCCGCTGGTGGATCTGAGCTGGGGGCTTGCCTGGTTTTAGGCCCTGTAGCTTCTCGCCCACCATGTACCTCTGTGCTCCTGCTTCTTTTCACTTCTTCACCCCACCCCCTGGCGCTGCAGTCAATAGACAGGTGCTCTCCTGTGTGCTCCCCTCACCCCCTTGCTTTGTGCTCTAGTCCCTACCCAGCTGAGACTTGAAGGGTTTGCTTTAAAGACTGTCTTGTGCCCGGCTGGGCTGTGGAAAGTGCTCTGCCCTCCTGCCTTATGGCCACCACATATTCCTATGGGATCTGCTGGGTAGGTGGCCTGGCACTGCTTGCCCCCTGGGATGGATCAGGGCTAGGAGTACCCCTCCCCCACCTTTCCCATGGCAGTTTTCCCTTCAGACTCCCCCACTATCCCTGTCAGAGTTGCCCAGTTCAGGCCCCAGCCATGGTCCTGCTCAGGGTCGGATGTCTGGCTGTGAGACAGAGCATATGGTATGTTCACAAACGGGCCTGTGTAATGTTGTGCGTCTGGGTTGGTTGTCACAATGATTGGCACCCGGGACCTCTCCGCTGCTTGAGCTGAAAGACCTGGCTCTGTTCGCCAAGGCTCACCCGCCTCTCTCTCAGACGCAGCCTCCATTAAAGGGGGACAGAGCGCTGCACTAAGTGGCATCCCTCTGCCGATTGCGTCATTCAACGCGTGTGAAATCTCTCCTGTGGCGCGGAACAAAACTCGATGGCCAAGGCTCAGCCCTGGGTTGCTCCTGGATTATAGAGGCCCAGTGTTGTGCAAGACCCTGTGATGCTAACTTGCCAATAAGCGACATCAGTGTTCACTTCCGCTAGAAACAAGGCTGTGGATTAGTGCTGGGGAAGGTGCGTCTCAGCCCTTGAGTTATGTCTCCTGTTTCTCTAGATAGTGGCAGGAGCAGGGCAAAGGCACGAGGCCTGAGCCGGTGACGAGGTGAAGTGCACCAAAACGTGGCTGGCGCTCACTAGAACTGGTGAGACCAAGGCCTGTGCTCACCTGGCTCCCAGCCCAGTGCACTTCTCCTAAGCCAAGGTGTCTTCTGGTGGAGGAGCCTTGCAGCCTGTGATGTCCCTGAGATGTGGGCTGGCAAATGCATGAGTGGCCCGCGAGTGCAGACACTCTGCCCATCCCCTCGTTGGGTTGTGCTTCCTGCCTTGGCCTGGCCTTACCAGAACTCTTCCTGCAGAGCCTTCGTTCCCGGTGATCGCAGCTCTCCTCTGAGCTTGCAGCGCTGGGTGCACGGGACGTGTGTCTGAGCTGGGGGCCGGGCTCATCCCAGGCCCAGCAGACAGCCGGCATGCGACTCTGCCTGCCTCCTCCTGCAAAGTGTCCCCAGCCACCTGCCCTGGGAAAGGGGAGGGGTTTCTGGCTCGGACAGTGAAATGGGTTCCTCTAGAGCAGAGGTGGGCAAACTCCGGCCCGTGGGCCACATCCGGCCCGTGAGACCGTCCTGCCTGGCCTTTGAGCTCCCAGCCGGCGAGGCTAGCCCCCGGCCCTCCCCCGCAACCCCGCCACCGCATGGGCAGCGCTCTGGGAGGGGGGGGGCTGGGGGCTCCTGCTAAGCAGCGTGGCAGTGTGTCTGGCTCTGGCGGGGCACCGCGGCTGCCAGACATGCTGCTCTGAGCGGCATGGTAAGGGGGCGGAGCGGGGGGGTTGGATAAGGGGCAGGGGGGTCCTGGAGGGACAGGGGAGCGGTTGGATGGGGCGGAGGTTCGTGGGGGGTGGTCGGGGGGGGCGGTTGGATAAGGTGGTGGGAGTCCCGAGGGGGG